TCCATTGGCAAATGAAAAATGTATGAAGTATATCAAAAGCTATTGTCCATATCAGAATATTAAGACACAGGTAAAACTATGCTTTCTGTGTGGAATACTACAGTAATAAAGTGTAGCAGTTTATAAGAAAACAAAAAGCAGATAACTGGAATTAAAAAAAAAAAAAAAAAAGCCTGTTTTACCTTTTCAGCACTTTAAACCCTGGTATTGTAGAACTGTCTTAGCTGGTGCTTTGCCTTAAAATGAATCATCAATACAAATATAAACTATTTCAGTAATAATCTTAGCAATATTTGGAATAATAAGCGACTACTGAAATTAACCAAATACCTTCTCCTAAATAATTGATAGATTTCAAAAAAATGTTTTTGTTATAGGACTGCCAGGAAGTAATAGAATATTCTATTGTATAACCAAACCTCAACATGTGAAATACTTTCTTCTTTTTTGGGCAGGGGGGTTCTGTTGTTCTAATGGGTTTTGCATAGTTTGTCACAGGAGGAAGGAGGTATTTTCCACTGATTAAACACCTTTTCAGAGGCAAACAATGAAACGGAAGAGGAGCTATAGTTTTGACATTGTCATTACAGAGGAAATCTTTATTTGAAGCAATGTGTTAGCTGTGTTGCATAGCTTCATTAAGTAAAATCTTACTATGTCAAAACAACTACTTTTTATGTGTGAAAGATTGCAAAAGCAAACCTCAACTACTGTTCTAAGGTAAACCATTCCATGATTATTACTACCCCCTTTTTTTGTAATAATCAGCAAGCAGACATGTATCAGTCCTTTACCAGTGGGGAAAGCATGTTTTTGATTACCTTTTACAAGTAGATGATCCCCTAATATGAAGTCATTTTTCAGACCAAAATACTTCTTGCAGTTAGAGTGATAAAAGTGCTTTTTTTGAGAGCAGGTAATTATGTAATAGATGTGTTTTTAGATAAACCATAACAAGTAGTACAGTAAGATGAATGGAGAAGAATTTGTTACTTTATGAGAAAAATCATATGTAAAGTATTTAACTGGTTTTGTTTTTTTAATCTCAGTGTTATCCTTCAGTTTTTATCACGGCATATGAAAATGATCTACGGGTACCACCAACAGGAGTTATACGATACGTTCAGAGACTGAGAAAGGCTGCGCTAGATCATGCCAGGAGAACAAGTAAGAAAGGTAAGAATAAGAAAGTTAGAGATACATGGAGTTAACTAAGCCAGAATATTTGCAGTCATGTAATGAAACATCACAGAGTTTGACTCCTCCTTAGATGCAATTCTTTGTACAATACAATCCAGTATCTAAAGCTCTGACGTAATTTCCATTATCTGCAAAGATGAGACGTGCAATCATACCGACAAATAGATAAACTTCAGCTAAGATGCACTCTCCAGAGCCTTACGAGGGACCAGATATCTCTGTATTGTAGACCTGCCTGAACATAGTTAAACCCATATGTGTTAAATATTAATAGTGACAAACCACAACAGGCTCAGAAAAGCCTCTGAGAAAAAAAAATGAAGAGTGGGAGAATATGAGTTGTGCTCAGTCTTTCCTAGGCCTCAACATACGGCGACTGTTGGACAGGGCTAGGTGAACCTATAGCATCTAGTCCAGCTACTGATACGGTCGGACTGCAGTTCTCAACAACACATGGATAAAAATCTTATTTTTGCTGCTCTGTAGTAACCTACATTTCCCAGTTTGCCAAAACTGCAGGTGTTAGTCCAAGTTAGAATGACAACAGCCAAGGCACTGTTTTTATTTCTGAAATGTAACACCAGCTTTGGGGCTGTTTTCAGCAAAAGGTATATTCAAGCCTTATTATTTTCTAGTACTGTTAGTCTGGGGAGACACATTTACCATCAGTACCAAAATAGATCTTGAATTAGCTTTTCTAAATTTCATTATGCTCCTTCTCTGCTAGCAGCGCAACTCCAGTGGTTGAGAAAGCACAGCAGATGCTGCAATTGCTGTTGCGGGCTTGGCTCAAAAAGAAAAAAGCTTTTCTTTGCAAAAAGAGAACAAACATGCAAAATATGTAAACATTTTTCAAATACATAGTTAATAGAAATACACATAGTTCATCCAGCAAGCCCCTATGTGATTCCTTCTTTTTTCTTAAGGAACAACAGAAATTCTGTCAGGATAGAAGGCAGAATTATCTATCCCTAAACAACTCGCATCCCCACTTACCTTTTTCCTCGTTCATTCATTGTCAAGTGATCACTAACTTTGTTGTTCTAGGAAATTGGATCCCTAATATCATCTTAGACATCCAGGCAAATGGCAGTCATTGTGATTCATCTTGGGAGGATTCACTGAATGAGGTACACTCCCCTCACTGCACATTTCCATAACGTGTTGGAGGGAGGCATCCCCTTAATTGATACTTCAGCCTCAGTAGTTCGTGCAGTCATTGAATGTTTGTGTGAAGCATAAAAGAAGAAACACACACCTGCTGGAATGAAGGTTGCTCTTGCAACCTTTTATACATATTGCAAGAGAACCTGCTAGCTTTATATATAAAGCCTTTTTTGACATATATGTAAATATTTACATATATTTCAAGAGATATATATATATCTATATTTTTATATATACAAAAGAGCCAGTGACAAAGCCAGATTATTGAACCTCATTGTGCCTTAAACCTCAGAATAGTATTAAACTCCCACTGTAATGTGCTGAGAGCTTTGAATGAAAGGTTCCAAGTTGTGCAAAACATGGTTCCAGCATGAAAAGTCTTGCACTGTGGAGCATTAAGTGCTTAAAATTGTCATACTGGCTATTTACTTCCATCTTCCTTATGAGTAAAACATATACGACAGGTTTGATCTTTATGTTTTGATACACATGATACGTACTATCAAAGGACGCTACTACAACTAGGTTTCAATGTTTTGCACTTTGTACAAGTGCACGTGCTAAAAGCAACATACTGCCAAGACCTGCCGTCTTGTTACTGATTCTCAGACTATCACAGTTGGATACAAATTTTATTACTGTTAATTTTAACAAATCCTAGCAAATGTTACTTGGTCATTGTGGCAGTTACTCCCCAAATGAATTCTTTCAGGAAAAGCCTCATTCTGTCTTAGGGCAAGGTATTGCTTAGCATTAGTATGGGAAAGGAAGATTAGAAGAACTGTGCAAGAACCTGAAGGTTTGCACTATAAGTGCAAAGAATTTTTTTTTTGTTTTGTAATAATAATATTTTCATTATTTTAGGTAGCAAGACACCTTGCATTTCTGAACAAAGAACTTGAGGAAGTGTGCCATCTCCAACATCATATGAAATCCTGCAAATAGCTAATAAATACATTGACCACCTGAAGAACTTCAGGTCAGATTTTTATTTATATGAAAAGTGAACACATTCTCCAGAGGATTTCTCCTCTTGGATCCCTGCATAAGCAGACAAGAAATTCAAAGCTGGGTGTGGCATTGCCTTATAAACATACAAACCAAGAGCTGAATTTCTCCCCTGGCAGGTAGTACAGAAGTAGCCGCCTGCGTGACTCACTTTGTTCAGTACAGTTCTGGTCATGCACTATACAAGTGGAGCTGAAGTGCGGTGGTTGGTGCTTAAAGCCTGACATGGGGAGACATGAGCTTCGTACAGACAGCCCCTTCAGTCTAAGGCCTCTTTTCCAAGACCACACTTTACACAAGGCAGTAAAACTCCCAAGAAGTATTTTATTTAAAAGTCTCACTAAGGTCTTCTGGAACTAATTCTCATGCCTAGGTGATGACGGCTATTGCCCTTCCCAGCTACAGAGCAGCAATAGTGTACTGATCATATGGTGGGACCAAACAAACCACAAAGAAGAAATGGATTCTCGAGAACATGAATTTTAGCAGAACTCTGAGTAGATTCAAAATCTTTTAGTTACCTTAACTAGCATGGTAGTCTTAAAAAGGAGGTGCCAAAGTCCCTCCAGAAAACAAGATGTATGCCCCAGAAGGAGATGCCAGAATCTCTCCAGAGGATAAAACAAAAAGCATGCCCTCAACTAAAGCAGCCTGATTCATAGCTTAGCTGACCTCCGAGCAAGGCACAAAACTGCTACACATTGCTTGTTAAGATAGATGGATGGTGCACACCTCACGCCAGCAACGGGTACGAGCAGTTGGTGGAAAATACACTATGTGGCCATAAGGTCTTCAAACCAAAACAGTCCTCCAGCTCATCCCTGTGACCGAAACAGACTGCACTGAGTCAAATGCTTCTCCTTCCTTTGTGTCATGTAAGTCACTATAGGTACACCAAATGCAAATCAAAGCATGTGAACAAGTGTGACATTCAGTAGAGTTGTTTCAGTTACTTACTCTGAAGTAAGGTATGCACACCTCACCTCAACCTTGGGTAGATAAAGAAATAAGAGAACGCAAACATATTGTACCTCAGGGGTGGTGGTGGATCAATTGGAAATACAGTCCTGAGTGTAAACATACTAGCTATATTTTGTAACTTTGAGGATAATCAGAGCTGTTGGGGTTGAGAGAAGAGGTAAGCCATCACAACTTTAATATATTAGTCTTGTTTGCTTTTACCTATTTTAGCAAATATTGGGCCACCCCTTTAGAATAAGTTTTACAAATTTACAGACCTTTAAAAAGTTACTATGACCTGGCACAGGCACTGGATTCCACAGGAGCTCTTAATGATGAGCAACTGTAAGGGGCAGCACCCAGAAAGCAACTGTTGTCTTTCCTCACAGACATAGGCACACTTAAACAGGAGAGGTTTTCAGGACAGGTTTACTTATCTTCTCCACCAACCCTAAGGGAGAGTTTATACCATACTTTTTCCTTTTCATCACCAATACAGATGCAAGACAATTAGGTTTATGTTTTCTTTTTTCAGGATGTTTATTTTGACCACAAATAAAATAAAAGTTTTAAAAGCCAAAGAAAATGGAAAAGTTTTAGCATTTCCCCGAAACCAACATTTTCTAAGTTAACACGAAAGCTTGGTTAACACTCAACAGTTGCAGTTAACAGTTCACGTAGAGTAAGTTGAAGGCACTGGAATAACAAGCTTTTTCTGCCACAAAACAATTCCCTTGAAAAGCTTCCATAGTATGAACAGGCTTTGCTGTTTTATATTCAAGGACCAGGCCTTCTCCCATTTCAGTTTTAATTAGTTTGGTATTGACAGTTTTACCAGCATTGCTAAAATTAGTGCTTAGTTTTATAATAGCTTCAGATGGAAGGCTAGGAACTATAGCTTTCAGGTCTATTGTTGATCCCTGCCCAAAATTGAGAACCATCATGAAGACTTTGTCTAACCCATCCAATTCCCTCACATACACAAAGACATTGCTGTCATTCCAGATGTAGCACATCCACCCCCGATGAAGGGGCAGCTCGTTGTTACGAAGTAAAGTTAGCTCTCTGTACAAATTCAGGGTTGAGTTGGACCAGGTCATCTGGATCTGCAACAGTCAGGGTTAACAGGGTCATTTCTTTGCACTGAATGTAGGAACCATTACTTGCCCCCTCACACCCACGCAGTCTGCGGAGAACACACCTAGCAGAATGCCCGTTTGACTGTTATCTCTCTTCAAGTTTGTCTGGAAATTTCACTCAAAAAACTGCTTTTTCTCATGCACTTCCTCAGCACTTGTGGAGTGGCAGAGACACAGGTTATCAGGCAGGACACAATCTCCCCAGCACTGAAACTGTTTCTTCCTCCCACAGTGTCCTTACAGTACCGTTTATTCAGGAGAAAGCCACAGCCATCCAAAGCTTGATGCTGAACTTTTTTCATTGAGTCTAATGTACTGCAGTCACAGGGTTTGTTTTCTGTTTTATTTTCCCTGTCTTTGATTTATTTTTTTCTGTCTCCAGTTCCGGTCAGCACTGTAGATCAGCAATATCTGTTTGATTCATGGCTCAACTGCCTTGAAAAAAGTTTTTATTTACTTATGTTAGAGATGGTCTATGTTAAGCTCTTGTTACAAGGCCGGTGTTTTCTATAGTAATAGAAGTGAAAAAAAGGCTAGATTTCCATTTAATATTAACCTCCTTTTAATAATTTTAAAAAGCCAAATCGCCACATCTACATTCTAACTGCCAATGCCCTGCTTAAGTGAATATAGATGAAGTAGGCTTCTTGCTTGTGCAAGGATTTCCTTTTCTAATAAAATGCGTTGGGATTCAACGCCTTTTTATTTTCCTCCCTCGGGTTTGTTCTTACTAGCTACACTACCAATTCCCACTAAGCAAAAGAAGTCAGAGCAAAATAGATACATCAAAATAATCTTGAAACCATTAGAGTTAGTCACACGTACAGATACCTACTTCAACATTTACGCTTTGGTAGTCAGAGTTAATAGGTAACCAGCTACTGTTGCCTTCAGTAAAACCAGCGTTAACTTTGCCGTCCCACTGCATGGGGGATTTCTCTGGAAAGGTTGCCTAGAAAATAAAGTGGTGTCAGAGCCGTTTACCAAGTAGTTACTTGTTTTGATTAGTACATTAAAAAGTTATCCCCTGAAGAGCGTGTTCTCACATCTTCCAAAGGATCACCGTTTCAGTATTGCTTTCTTTGGTTTAAGTTAAATTTTAATAAGGAGGATGTAATGCTGCTCCAAATCTAAAGAGGAAATAAGAATCAAGACGGCTCCCGAAATGGAGGAGAATGGACGGTCTCACAGACACAGCATCACCAGGTAAAATGTGGAATTCCCAAATGACTCTACCAGAGTTGTCTCCCCTTGCAACAACAGATGGTTGGATGAAAGTTTCCTAATGGCAGCTGGGATATTCTGATAAATATCTAGATGTGCAGGGAGTGAATACATGAGGCAATGAGTCCTAAGAAGAGATGCTGTTAAAATAACAGTAAACAACTAGGAAACGCAGTTCAGTGTCTGCTCTTTGGTAACCATCACATTTTTCACCTTAGAACTCTTCAAGCTTACATTTGCAAGGGGTACAATTTGGACAGCATTGTTTGCGTTAGAAAGATAAAATTATTTCCAAGTGCAAAAACTTTATTGAAAACCAGCTTTTAGCTGATTAAAAAGTGTCAGCGTAAAAAGTCTGAAGTTCTCACTTTGAAGAATTCAGAAAAATTCTGAAAAAGCTTCCTTATTGTTATTGAAGAGCTTGCCAAAAGATCTGACACTTAAATTTAATGATATAAGAGGGCATAAAATATTTTGCACATACTTTGTTTGTTTTCCATGAAAACTGTTTTTCATATAAAGGGCACTTTTCAATACAATCTGTCAGAACAGCAGCTCAACAAAAGAAATTGTCACTTTGCTTTGTGACATTATAAATAATGGGTTTCTCCTTTTAGCATGTTCTGAAAAGCAGGGGAAAAAAAAAATTCCGAAGTTTTCAACACTGGTAACACTCCCTTTCATCTTTACCTCTTTCAGCTTCTCCTGAAGCATTTCAAATGCTGGGGCTAAAAACTATACACACCCTGAGCAAATACTCTCTGTCTTTCTAAGACACCCATTAATCAGGGATTCTTCCTCTACAGACTGGATGAAGAGTGGTTCTGCAGTGTTACAAAGCCGTGAGCCACAGGGCAGCCACTAAGAGAGAGTAAAAACCCTGCGGAGCCACGGGCAAGCCGCTTTTCTGAAGAGTATCATTCTGTCAGCAGCAGTGGGAAGAAAATGCTGGAGGCATTTTGACCTAGGTGTTTCTCAGAGGAAATGAGATTTCCTTTTAAATCAGAGAATCACTTCCTCACATCTGAATCAGACAAACCTGGCGATGATCCTCTGCTTCTTCAAGTACCTCTTTTCCTTCGGTACAAAGATAGCCAACGCTGTTGGTAACATCATTAGAGGCTGTCTCACACCCTAACAGAGGCTTTCCACAGTGAAAACAGCATCTGCTATAGGACCATGTTCTTATGGTACTCAAAAGTGGTCATAAAAGGCAGAGCTGAGCTGTTCCCTTTTGGCCGTGACCTTTTCCAGTCATGCCCATACATCTTGGACAAGACGACACAATAGAAGTCAGGTTTGGTCATAGAAGAGACAAGAAATTACAGGGGCTGAACGTGAAAACTTTTACGTTAGGCAGGGCAGCACAGCGCAAAAGGCACAGACACTTTCTTTTAATCCCCTGGCCTTGAATAAACATACTTCTGAAAAGTTGTGTAATCTAACACACAGCACCATCCTGTCATGTCTTACGTGCAGCTATGATCAAGTGAGCCAGGCACCTGGTTCCCAGGCTTGGGTACTTAAATCCTTTATAGAAAGGGATCTAAAAGACAAATGGAAAACCCCTATGTGACAAGCAAAAGCCACCTCTGCTTGCCACCAGGCAATGCTAAGCAGGGGCTGGTCAGTACACCCCCCCCTTTCTGGAAATCCCTTCTTCAGAGCTCGGGCACATCGTAGAGGGCTGTGGCTCAGCCGGGTGCCTGCGTATAGCGAGAGCAAAGCGCTCTGCAGGAGATGGCGACTGCAGCCACGGTCTCTCATGAACTCTGATTTCCTTTAAATAGCAACCAGGAAATAATGGACTTTGACAGAGCGATTAGGGTACTTCCGTGGAAGGAAGGAGATAGCGACTCGGTTCCTCTTGCCTCGGGTGACTGCAACACACCTCTCCTCGCCACTAGCCCAGGCCCAGCATCGGCACTTGCTGCCCCTTCTGCCGGAGCGAAGCAGAGCGACGCTGCTGCAAACCATGCAAGACTGCTCTGACAGAGGACAGAAATTACACGATTCCAGGGGCCACGATTACAGTGTAGCGTTTCAGACACACATCAAGGCCTCGGTTCTGGTCTCTAGCCTGGCCACTTTCACGTGCTGTCCAATGGCTTTGCCATGGGGAACACCGAAAACCATCTAAACAGTGAGAAAGGCTGGGTTTGGTTAACTAAACATAAGCTCATGTATTTTTGCAAGTTCTGTTACTCGGAACTGAACAACAACGGGGTCAGAGTATATAGGCCCTTCACTTACATTTTCTGACGCAATGTTCTCCATGCCTATTTCTTCACCATAGTAAGTTACAGGAGTCCCAGGGAGGGTTAAAAGCAGCATGTTCATAACGTTGACGTACTCCTTCCCAATCCGAGATGAAATCCGAGCAGCGTTAGGGCTTCCAACCTGAAGGAAACGTCATTCTGTTAAACAAACATTATAAAATTCCATGCATATGTGCAACCGGTTACCTAATTTAACAAGGTAGTAAGTTGTTGGGGTTTTTTTCCCCACCTCCAGGCCTGTGAAGGCAATTACCTGTTTTATCTTGGTGCCAGCACAAACTTCAGACTCAAATAATTCAGCACACAGGAGCCGTGACAGCAGCACATGAGGCAGAAGTGAGGAGAGATGACAAACAACAACTCTCCACTATTACATTTCCCTCAGATGTCTACCATTTTCTCTGCTGTATGAGAGTGGTGCTCAATTTGAAGAGACCTCCTGCACATCCCAAACATGCTTCCTAGCAAAGACCAGCGAGGTTTTAAGCTAACTGCCCTCGGCTGCCTGCCCGGCTCTTCCCTGGCCCTGGGAGGTTTTCAGAAACCATTGCACTGAATCAGTTTATGGCCAAAGATAATTGTACCAATCCCATCCTCACTGGTGGTTTAAGCCAATGCCCCATACTACATTGGAGACACCGAGGGAGAGGCATGATCGTAAATTCCTTTCTGTCACCCTCACGTGGAGGCTGTAACTGTTATCGAAGGGCAGGAGGGGCAGCCAGCTGGCCAATGCCAACAACTGTGACTACAGCAGCTGAGAGTTTCACTTGGGTATCTGCTACAGTTCAGCCATGGGCTCAGCCTGCTGCTGAGCCCACTGAAATCAGTGTTTGGGGGTGGGGAGAGGTTTCTATCACCTACGGGTTTCTGTCACCTACAGGAACAAGCCCTTCCTATAAGAATCAGTCTAGAACTCTTACCGCCCAGTTTGGCCATTTTCCTGCAGGCATGTTTTTCATCCACAAGTTGACAGCTTCAAAAATACCGTTGCCCGATAGATTTTTCATGTTAATGAGGTTGAAATTGAAGGGAAAATCTGCTTCTTGGACAAAAGTTGTTCCATAATACATCATTGTGGCTTCAATGTCTTCCTTTTCATCACCATCAGAGCCCATAAATCTACAAAGTAGTATACAAATACCTTTTTTTGCTGATTCTTGGTTTGCACAGAGCAGGAGGAAGCTAGGAATTGTGTTGGACATACATATAAACCAACACAGCATTAAGAATTATGCTCACTTCCCTCCTCCCCATCAAAAAGGATTAACACAGAGAAACAGTATTTTGTAAAGCAGACAAGGAGAACTATTTCCGGTAGATTTTTCTCCAGAAATTTCCAAGAGCCAACACAAGACTAAGTATCAAAATTAAGTCTTATCTTTCTGAATCCACATCCACACACTCCATTCCAGCAGTTTTCATGCTTTGCTTTACAGAAGATGAGCTGGGGATCCCCCAAGTTGAACATGGGCCCTCAATGTGTGCTTGCAGCAAAGGTGGCTAATGGTATCCTGGGCTGCATTAAGAGGAGTGTTGCCAAGAGGTGATCCTTCTCCTCTACTCAGTGCTGGTGAGGCCACACCTAGAGTGTGGTGTCCAGTTCTGGACTCCCCAGCAGAGTCCAGCGAAGGGCCGCTAAGACCATTAGGGGCCTGGAGCATCCCTCCTATGAGGAAAGGCTGAAAGAACTTGAACCGTTCAGCCTGGTCTGGAGGAGGCTCAGGGGGATCTCATCAATGTATACAACTATCTGAAGGGAGGGTGTAAAGATGACGGAGCAAGGTTCTTTTCAGTGGTGCCCAGTGCCAGGACCAGAGGCCATGGGCACAAAAAGAAACAGAGGAGACTCCCTCTGAACATCAGGAAACTTCTTCACTGTGAGGGTAACCAAGCCCTGGCACAGGTTTCCCAGGGAGGTTGTGGAGTCTCCATTTTTGGAGATGTTCAAAAGCCATCTGGACAACTTTCTGGGCAACCAGAATGAGCAGGGGGGTTGGACCAGGCAGCCTCCAGAGGTCCCTTCCAAACTCAAATATTCTGTGATTTTAACAATCTGTGCCTGACATGAACTGCACTATTAATACTATACAATAAATCAGCCACAGGGCTGACTAATTACAGTGTCTCTGTGATCCAACTGGTTGCCCATTCTGCTTACTTTTGTATAGTTCATAGATACAGCAGAGCTACCAAGGCCAGCTTATTTCCTTTCCCTAACACACTGGGGAAGAGATAGTATAGCCTATGCACTGCTATTTACATCTGAGGAAGAAAACTTTTTATGGCATATTAAGTTAGTCACCTTGGCAATAAATGTTTTTGAATAATATTAGAGAAAAAAAATCACCAGCTGTAATAATGATTACCTGTATCGGCCAGGTTCACTGCTGAACTGATTCATGGTTTGACGGAAGCTACGGATGATATCATGCATTCCAACTTGCGTGGTCGTGTAGTCATGGTAGAGCTGGGAATAGGCTGTGATACTTTCCTTAAAGAAGAATACAATATTCCCCATTAGTTGACCGATATTTTCAGACCTCTCCAAATTCTTCCCATCCTTTTCTGAGACAATGCACCACTCCAGATAAATTTTAACTGAAATGAGTTTAGCATACCAGCACTCACGAACCAGCACGAACAGTGCGGATCTGAACCGCACTTGGGGAACCCTGAAGATGTGATAGCAGAGCGATGATTACTTTGAATCCTGTCTTTCAGGAGGGAAAATCCACCCGCAGCACTAACCAACTGACCCCATCGGGAGCAGGGAGCACAGCAGGTGCTGTGGCCGCACACCAAGTTGGAAAGATGGACAACATTGTTGTCCTAACTCACAAAGGCAATGACACTTGAGGAACTGACCAGTTTTATGCGATCCCCATCTCTGCAGGGGAACAGCGTCTTAGTACTGACGCTATCTGGGAACGTCTCCCAGTTCACTGCCTCAGCAAAAGCAAACAGCACAAATAAGAGGGTGCATGCTTCTCAATGTGACGGGCCACTTCTCACTGTGACACACCACCAGTATGAGGGGGTTTTGTTTTACTCCAATTCCTACTAGCGACACAGAAATATGTGCTGCCACTGGATCCCACGCGAGCAAGAGCTCTGTGCTTACGTCCTGTAATGGGCTCCCCAAAGTTAACCAATCAACTATTAAAATCATGAGACTGATCTTTTTCGAACATAAATTGAAAAGCAAATTATTTTAAACAAAATTCAAAGCAACTATGTCAGATCAGAAATATGAAGGGTCTATCAACAATTCTCCCACAGGACTCCTGCTTGCAGGTGTCTCACTGACATACACCCTTAGCCCAGGGGCTTCTTTCTTGTATGGGCTACTTCTGCAGAGCGCCCAGGAGCCACCTGCCTTCCAAAGGACACAACTGACTTGGTCTTCCTAAAGCCACAATTAAGACCCAAAAGAGTAGAAACATACACTCTTGCCCCAGCGGGAAACACAGGAAAAAAGCAAAGACAGAACATATACGTTACTGGATTCTGGGACTTGTTCACTTGAGGCTCATCCCGTAGATGTGTTGCTTCTAAAAGAAATTTAACAGCGCTGAAACTAAATCCATCGATTCCTTTGCCGAGCCAAAATTTGATAATATCCTAGACAAAGGTAAAATTTGAGAATTCCATGTGAGCCCATCCCATTCAAAACAGTACATACTTAAAGAGAAAGCTCAACCTGTTAGTATGTATAAATAGGTAACAATCTATTTCTTAATTTGTACTTCAAATTTTACTAGACATTAAAGTGAATCATGTTGATCTAAAGTCAAACCAAAATTTAAATAAAGCATTTGTTACTATTCCATCCAGTATAAAAGAGAAACAGACTGCTGTGTAACTTCTCCCACATTTCATGTGACCAAAACCAGGGCACGTCTCACTAAAAGTCATTCCTTATCTCATCCATCAAAACAACTGGGCTTGTGCTAAGCGGTGTTGGTGGTGAACAGCCATCATGGCTGCACACAACTAGAACACATTGATTCAAATACGCAAGTATATGTTGTTCTGCACAGACCTTTAGCCACCAGTTTTCTGTTTATACAATAGAGCTCTTAAAATATTTGTTCAATACTTAAAGGAGGCTTATAAGAAAGATGGGGACAAACTTTTTAGTAGGGATTGTTGCGATAGGACAAGGGATAACAGCTTTAAACTAAAAGAGGGTAGATTTAGACTGGATATAAGGAAGACCTTTTTACAATGAGGGTGGTGAAACACTGGCACAGGTTGCCCAGAGAGGTGGTAGATGGCCCATCCCTGGAAACATTCAAGGTCAGGTTGGACGGGGCTCTGAGCAACCTGACCTAGTTGAAGACATCCCTGCTCATTGCAGGGTTTGGACTAGACGACCTTTAAAGGTCCATTCCCTTTCCTGATGTGAAATTTTTTATTTTCAGACTTGTTAATTTGCAGGAACATAAAAAAATTATTCTCCACGTTACCTGCTATTGATTTGTAATTTCACTATCAAATTCAGAGGTTATTCACTATTGATAAAATTATATCCTACTTCAGTAGCTATTATATTATTACAGTTTTAATTGCTCTCATTTTAACAAACAACTCCAAAGTTCAGTCCCTCCTGAGCGGTTTCTGCAAATGTCCTTTTAGACCAGGTAGTTTTCTTCATCTGAGGACAAAGACTTTTTTTTTTTTTTTTCTTCAGACAGCTACTGAGTTGCCTTTCTTAAAATGTACGCACACTTGCCTGAATGGGCTGGAGTAAGATTAGTCCACACTCAAGCTTTACAGATTTTTGTTTGGCAAATAGAGACTGCACCTTACTGAGTTGTACTTTATCATAGAGCCATCCCGAAAGCAGCAGCTCTAGCTGTGGTGTCTGTCCAATACTGAACCACCAAAAATTAATTCATGCTTATGCATGTGCTCATCACAAAAGCGACACCAGGTATCAGCAGCGTAAATATCGAGCACTGACGTGGTGCTCACTGAGACTGAACTACTTTTATTTATGCAAGAAAGCTACAACATGCTGGCTCCTACGTTTCATTGCACTCTTGCATGCCCTGTGGCTAAACCGAAGACTTGAGCTTCTCTGGAAGAGTTCATTTGCCTCCTACTCGTTCCTTCTAACCTTCTGAAACAGGATTTTGAACTAAAATACTAGATGAAGAATATCCTTTAACATGCTGGAGCAATTAAAGATGTTCGTAAGTATTTACCAAAGGTTTAATGTTATCAGGCCAAACTTGGTAGTTTTCATTTCATTTCTTTGCATAGGAAATGCAGCATCTATTTGCTACTGGAGCTACAGTAACATATGATGTACCTTTCAAAAAAAAAAAACAAATTACCCAGTACCATCAAAAAGTATGTGCAATGCCAGAAAAAAAAAGGTGCGAGTGGAAATACATGGTGTTAAGGGAAGCACCGAGACATGGAGAAGTTATGAGTGGAGTCCTTCAAGGATGTCTTGAGAGCAGGTTCATTTCATGCTTTAGTTAACAAGCATGACCAGAAGCATTTTGTTTCTTCATGCACATGCAGTACCCTCGGTGAGGGGAGAGGCCCCAGAGAGAGAGTGAGACCATCACAGTAGAACTGGGCAGCTGTGAGGACTACCACCAAAGAAATGCACCAAAATCCAAAAGTACAAAGTAGCAAACACTTAAGGACTAAATCAAAACACTTGAGGTAGCTGTACTACCTGATGGGGTGTAACTTAAGGAAGGGGGGAGAAAAAAAGCAGCAATTGTCAGACTCCCCGTGCTCAGGCTGACTTCCCCATATTTTAATTAATTCTACATTGTCTGCTGGGAGGCGTGATGCAGACAGGCATGAGGTTTCATCAGAGCACCACCTTGCCTGGCAAAGCACTCTCACAGTGCCAGCTGTCCATCTGTCTCTCTCCCCTCTGAAGTCATCAGAGATGCAGACAGATCGAAAAACTCGCTGTCTCCCCGTCTCCACAAGCCCAGGCTTTCCTTGTAATTCAAATCAGCATTGCCTCCCTTTCCTAAAAATGCAAACATCTCTTTGCTAAAACAAGGTGCCATCCCCACATTTGACTGGCTAATTAACAGCTCCTTGTATCAACAGAGATAAAAACCTCTCTGCACTTGGGTGATTCAGCTCTGCTTCAGCACAGGCTTCAGTGCAAGAGCTGCTTTACCTTCAACGTCAATCCTTCAATTAACTGTTGTCCGCGATACAACATCCAAATGCTCTAAGTGCCTTCATCCTTGACTCTTGATGGAGACTACAGCTGAAAGCAGTTAACTGCTTGCAGACAGCAGTCATGGTGGACTATTTGACTACTGGCACCAACTCCAAAGAAAATAACAGCAATCTCAGGATGCAGAGGGAGGAGCACCTATGTCACCATACAAGATTTTGCCCAGACATCTTCTCTGTTAAGTTTGTTTAATTCTGGCCATCTGCATTTGAGAAAAATCTCAGACTGGAAGTGCTGTGAGGAATAAGTAGCAGCTAAACAAAGGGATGAAGAGTCTCTCACTTTAGGGAAGACTGGAAAAGCCTGCCCCCTTTAATCTAGCTCAACAAAAGCTCAAAGGGGATGTTGTCAGAGCTGAAAAACAAATAAGCATAAACAAGGGTGGGAAAAGCTATTTCAGCTGAAGGGCAGGTTTGGTTCATAGAGCGCTAAGTGCGAACAGTTTGCAAATAAGGTTAGGCTGAAAAGTAGAGGGCTCCTGAAGCAAAGCAAAGAAATTTTAGCAGGAAGAGGAAAGCGGAAGGGAGGTCCTTTGAAAGTGCAACAGCCTGTTCCAAAAACCCACCAGGATCTTGCCAGGCACTTGTGAGAGCGGGGGACTGAAGCCAGCAACAAAAAGCAACAGTCCTACCTTCTTGAAATCCAGGGGACTGCAACACCACCCGCTGTCAGTACTTCCACTCAAGGACAATTTTATTTGGATTTTTTTTTTGTGGTTGCTTCTTTGCTTTTACATGAAAGACTTGAACAAAGTAGCTCCGATACTGGAAGTATCATAAGCAAAATTCAAGCTTTATCTTGTAAACTTAATGTTTGTCTAGACACCTTTTTGTTTCAATAGTTTACATAAGCTGCAATCCTCAAAGAACTTCCAAGTAGATTGTAAATAGTGTAGCACAAATAATCAGAGAAATTAAGTGTAGAAATAGCCACTTTGCCGTTGGCACAGCAGCAGTGGGTTATATACTTACATGGATTTCTTGTTGGACAGCGAGGTTGCGAAAATTTAAGTCCGGCTGTTCTTTCCCAAACTGATGAAAATAACACTGCTTTCTCACATCATCGTACTGCCAGCTGGAATTCCCAAAGACACTCACCTGCTCATATAAGCCGGGAGGGGGGATAATCAGAGCTCTTGATTTAAACATTTACTCCTATGCATACTTTAAGATGTAGTGCGTTACATGCATATAAGAAAGTGCAAACGCCTAATCAATGTACTAAATTCTGAGTGTATTTTGGTACTTATGTTTTACGTCTCCTTCTACGAGTTCTCCCTTTAGTCATGCTTCGCAATATGTATTTCTTGTTCAATGGTTTCATTGTGGTTTGGTTTTTTAAAGTGGACTTTCACCAGGAATTACTTGGAATAGAGTGGAAAAGATGGGTGGGAACATTTATTTTGGAATTGTTTTTCCTAAAGCTTATTAAAAATAGCTTTAGTTAACATAGCGTTTTCTGCAATCTGGTATTATCCCTTTGAAAGTGCCAACAGTCAGCATGTTAAAATGTTAACTTAATCATCTATGTAATAAAAGATTCCAAAAGTTAAGATAGCTCTTAAGACTATGAGTTAAAAAAACCCAACAAAACAAAACAAAACCCAAGCACTAGCTGGTCCAAAATATTAATTCCACCTTGAGTTTTTAGAATATACGAGTTGCTAATCATGCACCTATCAGTTCAAATTTCCAATAAATATATTTGAAATAGGTGACCCACCTTCTGGCCTGATCACCTTCCAGAAAAAGGAAAAAACCCAAGAACACACTCTTCTGTTTCCCACCCCACCAACTCTGATTTCAGAGGAGCCGAGATGAAGCAGAGTACCCAGACACAGAAGGCGGCACCATGTGAACAACTTGTGCACAACTATCCCTTTTATGGTTTGCTGAATGAGTGAAGATTTAATGCTGAGGGAAAGAAACAAAAGTAATTTTTTTTTAATTCTGTTTGAAGTAGGAACCTCTCCATCCTGAGCTGGTTTAAATCTTAATCTGCACTAACTCATTTAGTAACATCAGTTTGTACCTCTCAACAGCCATTTATACCCCAGTGTACATTGGGACAGTTCTGTTACAGCTGCTTTTGCCATGTGGAAACCTGCATCCAGCTTGGGATTTGCACGTGCCCCTTCCCGTGTTTACCCAGTTGTTTGGAGGAGCGACCGAACCAGCAGCCTGCGTGCAGTCCTGCCAGATGTAGTAGTCCGTGTACTTCCCAGTCCGATTGCGACTCAGCTGAAACCATTGGTGTTTGTCACTTGTGTGGTTTGGTATTAAATCCATTATCACCTTCAGCCCTTAAAAAAAAAAAAAAAAAAAAAAAAATCAAACCATTAAATTCAGTCTTTTAAGACAAAGCTCACATTTTTTTCTTAATGCGGTATCAGAATCATTTGGGCTTCCTCCTCCCCAGAGGTCTGGCAAAAGAGAAAGGCTCCTGCCAGAAGGGTTTAGGCTCGAGGGACTGGTGGTCCCATTATATTTGAAGTCAGCACAGCACCACTGGCTGCTGATATGGGAATGCACAAGCACAAACAAAAAACCCCAGACTACTGATGCAGTTAGTCTAATGAGAGTGTGCGAGTAGCCGCAACGCCTCTTGCTGGTCCTGTTCCCCTCTGCCCATTGCTCGGGAGGGAAAAGAAGGGGAAGAACAATCAGAAGAGATTTCTGCTGTTATAAACCATTTCTACTAACTCTGACTTCAACATCTGTCTCCCGCCTGCCAGGTGGGAAAGGCTCTTCACCAGTCTAGCATCAGTGAACACACATTCTTCCTCACCCTTCTTAAAGACTAGACATTTTTTGAAATCCCATATGTTTTTGGGACTGGCAAACCATTTTCCATTCAGCCCAACAGGTGTAAGGGGAAACGTCTGAGCAAACGTCTGGTCTAAAGGCATAAACGCACCAACCATGGATGCCATCGCAGGAAGGAAGTGTACATTCTCTCCCAACCCAATAATTGTTTTCCTGCTGTCCTGGTTTGAGGTAAACCAGGACCAATTTTGTTCAGTAACTTTACTTTTTAGTTGGGCCTCTTCTAACTACTGAAATTAACAGCATCTTGTGCAGACACTGTTGGCTCTCAGAGTGACAAGACCAATGTTTATAGCTGATGCCCAGGCATGGTGTGCAGAGAGGCTCTTCCTTATACTGATTGCTACAACAGCCAAGGGCAGCTCACTTTGTCACTTGCCCCGTTGGAGGGTCGGAACCAGAAAAGCATAGGAGAAGTCCCACCTGTGGGGAGGAGCGGACAGGACAGGTGACCCAAAACTGACCAACAGGGTATTCCGTCCCATCTGCCTCATGCTCAATATAAAAGCTGAGGGATCAGAGGGTCATCCCTCTTTCTTCAGTGGCCAACGTCCGAGGAGGACTCTGTCTGTTCATCTGTCTTTGATCCCAATCCTGAATCCAGACCCAGAACCCAGTTCCTGTCCATCACTGAGTCTGGTCTGGGACTTCCCCAGTGGCAGCCAGTGACGCAATTGTCATCCTGGGAGCTTGATACAGTTTGCATCTATTTCATTATTTTCTTATTTTATTATTAATATTTCATTAAAATAGTTTAGTTCCTTCTAAACTCATAAGTCTCTCTCTCTTTTTTTAAGAGGGGTAGGGGGGAGCATCTGTCACTCACCCAGTGGCTGGTTTGGCCCAAACCACACCACCTGCTTTCTTCTGAAAGCAGCTATCAGTCAGAGAATTCAAAGTCAGAAACAACTGCACCTCAGCCTTGGTCCTGTTGGACTACTGATGCCCACAACCATAGGCATCAGGGAGCAGAGGCAGTATGTCAGCCGTACCACCCATGAATGTCCTCAGAGGGGACCATGCCTTGCAGAGCCTGTTGTAGGGCTGTGGTAGCTCCCCGTGCCTTCGGTCCTGCTCCCAGCCCTACCACAGGGCAGGAAACCGCAATCACAGCGCTTGCCTTGCTCTGGAGCGAATGCGCACCCTTCCCTGGCACCTCCACCCGCTTCTGCTCAACACCACCATGGGGGAATTGTCAGATGCACAAACTGAAATCTCAGATCATAACCTAGTGCTACAAGGTACACCTGTATAATATGAGCAAAATAGAGTTATTTTGCTTGGAATCACAGCTTACCTCTATCATGTATGGCTGCAAGCAGATTCTCAAAATCGCTCATTGATCCAAACATGGGATCAATATCATAGAAGTCTTCAGCTCCATAGCCAAGGTCTTTTAAGGGGGACTTGTAGAAAGATGTGATCCAGATGGTTTTTATATTTAAATACGTGATATGGTCCAGTTTATCTTGGATACCTGTTTAAAAGAAAAGAGCATCATCTGTTTAGAAAAGACAAAATATTTCTGTTGAAAAATGGTTGCCACGGGTTCTCAGTCAAAGATGGTACACAGGTCCCTTTGATACATAACCGTCCCCTGTTTTCAGTGCTCTCAGGTAGCAGGGCAGTCTTGGCATTTCTTCAGGGACAGCATGAGATCACAGAATGGAAACCATTCAAAGCCACTTCTATAGGAAGACAGCAGAAATTTAAAAAAAATCAGATCAAAACAAATTTCTACTCTGTATTATAAAAAGATTTACACTTTCATTTAATAAATTTAACACTCACTTCTGAAAACAAACTCTTATGTTTTCCATTGCTTTCTCATTTCAAGGAACATCAATTAATCCTCGGAACACCCAAAGGGAAGCACAATTTTGATCCCAGGTTTTCCCTGCCATTAGGAAAAGTCTCATGGGTATTTTTTTCCTGCTGCTTGCCTTTTTTTTTTTTTTTTTTTTTTTTTTTTTTAGGACCCTTTACTCCAAGTCTACCCTAGTTGTTTTGTGTTGGTGGTGGTGGGTTTTTTTGTGGTTTTGTTTCAGCTTTTTTTTAAAAACCCAGATCTTCCAGACGTGTTCCTGCTGGCATGCAACTACAGAAACAGTTTCTTCTCTTCTCTTGCTGGTAGAGTGTATCACAGCTACTGCTTCTTGTTTAGAAGTTTATTGTCTGTTATTGTGTTGAGCCTTCCCCTTCTGAAACAGTCTCAGCCAAACTACTAAGTGGCATTGCCTCTTCGTATTAGGTACCCCTTTCTCAATACACTCATTAGAGCTCAAAAACACCCAGACCGTGAACAAAAAGCAACACATCTTTCTCTCCTCTTTCTCAGTTTTATTTTTCTCATTTTTCCTTATGGTGAAGCAGCCAACCTAATGTAACAAAGTGCTCAGCACCGCCAGTCCTCCTGATTGACCTCGGTTTTGTGGAGATACTTTATTCTGATGGCAGTTGTGCTGCTGCTCGCTCTTGGCCCCACCTCCAAACATCCATTCTAACTCCAGGCTTAGGTTTAACAATTTGAGCAAGAAGCTCATAGATCTATTAATGACAATGTGAACTGCCATTCATAATGAGTCAAACAACTTCCATTCCTCTCTCTAGTAGGGTGGCTTTCTCTATCGGGAGATTATATTTTTTTAAGTATACATATACATGTATGTACATACTTGTACGCACACACAAACTACTTCTACACAGCTTTGCATGTACCAAGAATGGAATTTCACCCACCTTTCAGATCTCCATTCCCATCCATGTTGCTGTCCTTGAAGGAACGAGGATAGATCTGATAAATGGGACTGGCCTGCCACCAGTCAAGGCACTTTGGAGAGAGCGCGATAATCGTAATCGTAGCGCACACAAGCGCAACAGCAGCTGCGATTATGAGCCAGAAGAGAATCTCCCTGGTCACTCTGTACCGGGCTTGG